GTGTGGGACGGAACCATCCGAATGTCAGCCAGATATATCAAATTCCCACACTACAGTTGAATAGGGCGACATAGAAGTGCAATTTGTAGCGACGGCCGGTTTTCCTGCTGTAATCGGAGCTGTCGACTGCACACACATTGTTATAGAGGCACTATCACTAGATGCATGTGTTTATGTAAACAGGAGGCATTTTTTATTAAATCAGTGTACAGATCATCTGTGATGCGCAAATACAGTTAAGTAACGTTGTTGCAAGGTTTCAGTATGAAATCCACGCAAGTCTTTGTACATGAGGCCCCTGGTCTCTGGTTCTGATCCGTGCTGCCTTTATTCATTGATCCAGGAGGTTGGACTTCCCTCTCAGTCTTTCATGTTCCAGGCTAAGTTTAGATTTGGTTTACAGCATTTCCTACATGATGCGTTCAAGGACCGCTGGGAAGTTGAAAATCTTATCGTTCTTTGTTTTTACAGTTTCTGATTGATAAATGGAGTCACTCTGAGACTTAGTTTTTGCCTTAAATCTTCTGGTGTTTTGGTGTTCAGAGAACGAACCTGGCGAATGGACAACATGTTCTTCCATGATGGCTGATGGTTGTTGCTGTCTCATGTTTTTGTCCCCGTCTTGTTGCCGTAGCAGTGCAGCAGCCAGCAGGAGGAACCAGAGGCCTTGTTGGACCTGATTCTGGAGTCTCAGTGTCAGAGGCTGGAGGACCAGAGAGCCAGTCTCAGCCTGCTGCCCGACCCAGACCCAGCGGCGCTGTGTGGGGCCTGCAGCGCGGATCAACCCGACCTGGACTTTTACTACATGCTGATACAGTACCAGGTACCGACCCGCTGACTGAGCCCAGACCACCAGATGAACCATCTTAGTCAAGAACTGTAGTGTTTTGGACAAGTTCCTGTTCTTTCACACTGACTGAGAACAAACAGTGCTAACTAGTACTCAGTAACTATTACTACTAACTACTACCATGATTTGTCGGTTCCGTCATGATGGTTCCTCCTGAACAAGTGAGATGTTTTATGTTTCTGGACCAACAGCAGCTTTACACTCCATTCAAGGTATCTACAGAAACTGTCTCAACACCTTCCTGTTACATGGAGAAACAGCTTCGGCGTTCATCATGTCAGTGATAAACCCGTTTGAAATCTTTCAGATTCTGTTCCGGTTCTGTCACTTTGTTCTGTTTCATCCTCAGATTAGGGAGGCGTCATCTTGGTATCAGCACCATGCTGCACATTTATCAGGGTTTGAATTCATTCAGGAAATAAAATCTGAAGCTTTACTTAAACTTTAAAAACTGCTCAGACCAAGTACCATCAGAACTAG